TTCCTATAGGTTTGATGGCTCTCATCCATAAATTAACAATCATTTGACAATAATTTCTTTAACCTGGTCAACTATCTAGTTATTGTTTATATCAAACGTCGAGTTTGACTATGAACAAGGCGATTTATCGTCGTAACCACGTGTTACGTGCAACCAAGAGGTGATAAGAAATATCTCTTATTCCCTTCTTGTTGTCTATAGAATAACCGTTAAACAAATAGAGATGATTTCTCTTATTGATATTTTAACACTCTCTTTTTTTTTCTTATTCGAGGAGAGCGTCTCGGTCATTGACCGTAGAAGTCCCCCTTTTCTCTTTTACTGGGAAAATTCCTAGATTTATACTGATCTAAAACAGAAAAAGGGTTTTGGACCTTCACAGAGGTGACCCCACCTCCCACCTCCATCTCAGTGGCATGGAACCAAGCTAAAATAATACAGAAAATACAGAAGAGGCAGATAAAATGCTCTGAAGCTTGGAAAATTTATAAAGCAACTCAAAAGGAGAGACTGCAATGTAATATCAAGAGTATGGAAAGCACTACTGTTGGGTTGTTCGGAAAGTAATTTTTTTTTTTCCGTGGAAAAAAACACAATATTTTTATAATAAATAAATATTTTGTTGAATTATTTATCAACCATTTTGGTCAAATATTTGTTGTCATCATTTCTGGTAGTAGCATGATTTCACATTCATAAAAGTTTTGATCGTTGCTTACAAAAAACTGATCCAAGTGATTTTTGACATTGTCATTTCAAGTAAATGTCTTAAAGTTAAAAAAAAATTTGTATAGACTAGAACAAGTAATAATCTGAGTGTGCTCGATCTGGCAAATATGGTTGATGTGATAGTATGTCCCATCTAAGTTATAATAGTTTCTGACAAGTTACCAAACTTGTGTGAAATTTGATATTATCATGGTAAAACACTACACCTGTTTTGTTGATCAATTCTGGCCGCCTTTTCTGTTTAATGATATTACTCAATTTGTTTACTGGATGGCAGTACAATTTTGAATCAATTGTTATATTGTCTGGTAAAAGCTCCAAAAAAAATTTTCTTAAAAGCCCACCAAAGATAGCATCTCTCCTTAAGAACATGTGGAACTTACATATCGAGCTTTGTAACGAAACCAATTTGTTTCAAGTAATCATAAACAGTTCAATTTGACAAATTTAATCGCTTAGTGATTTCACGTGTTGTTATTCGGCAGTTTGCTTCAACCAATACCTTTATTTTGTTTTCATTGGCTTCAACTGGTTATCTAGAACATGGTGCATCTTCAATATTGAAATTGCCAGAACAAAATTTTGTAAACCAGTTTTGGCACTGTCGTTCTGTCAATACATCTTCCCCATGCACATCACACAATTTTTTTTCTCGCTTGAACAGTATTCTTACCTTTTTGGTAACAAAAAAGCAAAATATGCCGAAGATGCAGCTTTTGATCTTCCATATTTGATGGGACATAAAAAATAAACAATTGCACAAAATCAAACAAAATTTTTTACAAATAAGCCTTAAAATGCTAGCTGTCAAAACATATAATGATAATATGGTTTAGAATAAAAATGGCGGGAAAAATACGACTAATCCGTCTAGTGGTAAAAAAAAACGAAATTACTTTCCGAACAACCTAATAATATGATACTAAGAGATATAAGATTTATTTATTTATTTATTCACTTTTATGGAGTNCTACTAATCTCTAACCGAGGTTACAATAGGCAGTTTTCCGGCATACATCTCGTATATTTACGATAGAGGATATTCTTTGATCCTTCTTAAAATCTATTTAGGAATTAGCCCTAGTCCACCTGAGAGAAGGGAGAAAGTCTACTTACTAAGTTGTAGCTTGTAGAATCTAACCGTGTTGTCCGTCTTTGGCGGTCAGCGATGAGGATTGTCAATCCGTTATTTCCTTCAAAGTTGGAGGCCACCCCAATACTGGCCGTGAGCCCTCTTTATACCCATTTCGAGGGGGTGAGAACTATGATGTTATTAATGATTTATCCACACACCTGCTAGTGTGTTGATATTTGGATCTAGCTAGTTCGGACAAATGACTCAGCGAAGTTTGTTTAATTTATTGTTATTGGTGTCAAAATGATATGATTTTATGATATAAATTCCTATAGGTTTGATGGCTCTCATCCATAAATTAACAATCATTTGACAATAATTTCTTTAACCTGGTCAACTATCTAGTTATTGTTTATATCAAACGTCGAGTTTGACTATTAACAAGGCGATTTATCGTCGTAACCACGTGTTACGTGCAACCAAGAGGTGATAAGAAATATCTCTTATTCCCTTCTTGTTGATACTACGTCTATAGAATAACCGTTAAACAAATAGAGATGATTTCTCTTATTGATATTTTAACACTGTCTTTTTTTTCTTATTCGAGGAGAGCATCTCGGTCATTGATCGTAGAAGTCCCCCTTTTCTCTTTTACTGGGAAAATTCCTAGATTTATACTGATCTAAAACAGAAAAAGGGTTTCGGACCTTCACAGAGGTGACCCCACCTCCCACCTCCATCTCAGTGGCATGGAACCAAGCTAAAATAATACAGAAAATACAGAAGAGGCAGATAAAATGCTCTGAAGCTTGGAAAATTTATAAAGCAACTCAAAAGGAGAGACTGCAATGCAATATCAAGAGTATGGAAAGCACTACTGTTGGGTTGTTCGGAAAGTAATTTTTTTTTTCCGTGGAAAAAAACACAATATTTTTATAATAAATAAATATTTTGTTGAATTATTTATCAACCATTTTGGTCAAATATTTGTTGTCATCATTTCTGGTAGTAGCATGATTTCACATTCATAAAAGTTTTGATCGTTGCTTACAAAAAACTGATCCAAGTGATTTTTGACATTGTCATTTCAAGTAAATGTCTTAAAGTTAAAAAAAAATTTGTATAGACTAGAACAAGTAATAATCTGAGTGTGCTCGATCTGGCAAATATGGTTGATGTGATAGTATGTCCCATCTAAGTTATAATAGTTTCTGACAAGTTACCAAACTTGTGTGAAATTTGATATTATCATGGTAAAACACTACACCTGTTTTGTTGATCAATTCTGGCTGCCTTTTCTGTTTAATGATATTACTCAATTTGTTTACTGGATGGCAGTACAATTTTGAATCAATTGTTATATTGTCTGGTAAAAGCTCCAAAAAAATTTTTCTTAAAAGCCCACCAAAGATAGCATCTCTCCTTAAGAACATGTGGAACTTACATATCGAGCTTTGTAACGAAACCAATTTGTTTCAAGTAATCATAAACAGTTCAATTTGACAAATTTAATCGCTTAGTGATTTCACGTGTTGTTATTCGGCAGTTTGCTTCAATCAATACCTTTATTTTGTTTTCATTGGCTTCAACTGGTTATCTAGAACGTGGTGCATCTTCAATATTGAAATTGCCAGAACAAAATTTTGTAAACCAGTTTTGGCACTGTCGTTCTGTCAATACATCTTCCCCATGCACATCACACAATTTTTTTCTCGCTTGAACAGTATTCTTACCTTTTTGGTAACAAAAAAGCAAAATATGCCGAAGATGCAGCTTTTGATCTTCCATATTTGATGGGACATAAAAAATAAACAATTGCACAAAATCAAACAAAATTTTTTACAAATAAGCCTTAAAATGCTAGCTGTCAAAACATATAATGATAATATGGTTTAGAATAAAAATGGCGGGAAAAATACGACTAATCCGTCTAGTGGTAAAAAAAAACGAAATTACTTTCCGAACAACCTAATAATATGATACTAAGAGATATAAGATTTATTTATTTATTTATTCATATTTATGGAGTTTAATTCTATACACATATTTATTAATTTATATTAAGCCTATACTATTGTTTTTATTATACAGTAAAATTTCTCTAACTCAAACATCTGTAACACAAATATTTCTTTAACTCTAAGAAAATGAAGCATTCAGTAGGTCTCTATGGAATAGCATAAGGATTTAACATCAACTTAAATTCCCATAACTGAAATTTTCTCCAAGTCAAAGTTTTCCATGGTCCCCTGACACTAGTTTATATTACTTTCAACTTTCGACTCAAATTTTAATATTTATTCTATTCAAAGTGATCCCAATTATCAGATTTCTATGAAATTTTCAGACAATTAGTTATATCTACTGTCCAACACCTGATTGCAAACAATGTTCCCCTCCAAAACGAAAGGTCCTCTTGCTTTCTCTCAACAAAATGTACCTACAAAACTATTAGATTCTGTTAGTTACACTGAACATTTTGCTGAAAGGCATTACACAGGCTTTTTAAAACAAAAAAAAATAACCATCAAAGATTTTTTTATAATGCAAGAAATGTAAAAATAAAATCTATTCAGAATTGGCATTTTTCACTCTATTGTTCTCTAACTCAAATTGTCTGTAACACAAAGTTTTTTCCGCCCCTGGAGAAGTTTTACTGTATTTTTATTGTATTTATTTTACTGTAAATTTTTGACAGTATTTTTACAAGAATTACAGACATTCAGCATGCACATTTGAATTTGCAAAATTACATGCTAATATGTTAGTTTTCAGATTGAATTAATAAGTTCTACATTGATAGCATTGTTCTATACTTAGAATGTATTTTTCTTCTTTGAAGAAAGTCGTTAAAAATAACCAAAAGTATTAAAGTATAATTAAAATATATTGCATTTAAAGGTATCAGTGTGAAATTAGTAATATTTTTACTATCACCAATAAAGATGTAAATTCCCATTTACTCTGTTGAATACAAATAAAAAAAGGCACTACATTTACAAAAAGTGTATGAAGGTTATAAAGACACATATTGAGTATATTTTTTAAAAATGCACTTCATATTGCTTTAAAATAAATTTCTTCTATAATACAAATTTTTTTTTAATGCTGTGTACTTTAATAATGTTATATTAAAATTTAGAAATGAATTTATAATTTAATTTAAAAATAAATTAATTAAAATTCAAATTATTACCTCAGTACAGAAAGATGAAAGTTTCTTATTGATGTACGGTTGTACATATTCATGAAATTCTGATTCAGTTTCAAAAGTTTTCCCATTTACTTTTATTACTGGAAATTCAATTATTTCCTATAAAAATTTTCAGTTAAATTGATATATTAAAACTTAAAAACACATGATGATAAATTAATATTGAATATTGAAATTATTTAAGCATTCTATCAAGAGTACCAGAAAGTCTTTTTGTTTTTTAAACCCTTCAATTTCTATGGTTATAGTACAGATTCTTAATTTTAATCTAGAATTAATTTAAATTCCAGATTATTTAACATTTCTTTATTGTGTATACCAACTTTCATCAAAATCAAACTTATCTTTACACAGGCAATTATTTATTGTAACATTGTCATAATGCCAGACTGTAATTTTTTATCACAATGCTCTCAATTTTAATAGTCTTGTCCCTGTACATCATACTTCTCCTGTTAACAATGCTGGACATCTATCTAACTCTGTTCAGAAGAAAATTCAGTCCTAACCAGAAGTTTACCATATTTACTTGCATATAAGACGAGGTTTTTATTAATTTATTATGGCTTCAAATTCCTAGGTCGTCCTCCTATACGCATGACAGAAAGATTCTTTGCGTTTTTGCAAATAATTTTTGTGAACCGTGTATTCACATTTTTTACCAGATGCGGGATTTTTTTGTATTTAAAAACATAAGTATGTTATCTGAGTTGTTTCAATCATTCTTGTATATTGTCAGGAGTAAAGATGAATAGCAATATGAAAAGCAAAGGTTTTGAATTAAATTCCAGATTGAAATTCCAAAATCACACGGGAGCCTGATATAAGTTTTAATCCATTCCCACGTGAAAACAGATGATTATTCGGAAATCAGAATTCGGAGAAACTCATAAGTGTAATCGACAGAGTGAATTTGACTGTTAAGAATTGGCAAAAAAGGTTTCTGATTGTCCAGCTTTACATGAATAAATTATGGTATCAATTTTACAAGATTTTTCCTTAAAGTTTAAAATGTCAGTAATTTTTGTGGGACAATGTGTGCATTTACCTGCATTTGATATTTCACACGCAATTAATCAAAATAAAATTAGAATTGTATTAATAAATGTAATTTTCTTTATTTTGATCTCTAAACTCACATCTTGTCCTATATACGAGTAAATACAGTATATATAGTTAATTGGGGCCAACTGCCCCTAAGCTGTTATCTAGTCTTGACTTTCATTCTGCCTAATTCCATTTTCAAGATTAAGAAAGGACAGACAAATGGACACCAGTGGGAATTTATAGGTCTACAAGTTTTGAAAACTGCAGCCCAAAAATGGTAGAATTTGAATCAAGTAAAGAACACATACTTCATTGTATGCTGTTTGAATTTCATCATGCATCAAAAGCAACAGAAGTATCAAGAAATATCAACAGCATGTATCAAGAAGCTATACAAGTAAGAACTTGCCAGATATGGTTTGCAAGATTTTGCAAGGGTGATTTTAGTCTGAAAGATAGGGCTAGATCTGGTAGACAAAGTATCATTGATAATAATGTTTTGAAAGTCATTGTCAAAGACCCCGGACACCTGACTGAAGAGATTGCTAGCAAAATTGATGCTTTGTGGTCAACAACACAAGTACACTTGAAAGCAATTGGAAAGATCTACAAAGTATGAGGCCCTGGGCTGAGATGAAACATATTCTTTTAACCATATAGCTAAACAAAAACAAATCTTGATCTTTGCAATTAATTAAAATTAAGGAAACTAAATTATAAAGGAAAAGGGGAGAAAACAAAAATATTTTAATATTAAAACTACACAGTAAAAAAGAGAAAAATTAGTAAATTAAATTTTTTATAATACAAGACGAACAAAAAAGGGAATGTTAGTTAAGGTACAAGGTTCGTTCAACACTGAATGAAAGACGGTGTCAAATTGTATTAATAAACAATTGCCTTTCTCAGGAACCAATCTGGTCCAATTTCACATGGTGACAGAGAAAGACGATTTATAATCAATAAAGTGATGATTTGTGAGACGAAAAGCTATTTAAGCTCAGGCTACAAAGACACTTCATTCTTTGCCGTGGCATCCCAAGAGGCTATGTCCCTCATTGGGGTGCTTCCCGTAAGGTTCTATCTTCGTCCTTTGCAGACATATCCTCCGAATGTTACAGACCTCAGTTAAGAGAATCTTTGGAAATTCTGATCTGCATTCACCAGACATGGTTTCCTATTCAAGAAATAGACTTTGAATGAAACATCCAGTCAGCAATAGGAAACCACTCTCATCGCTGGACTTTCCTCTTCTTCTTTGAAGACTACATGCCAAAGTATACAAGGACTTCAACCCTTCATGACTATAGAACTATTTGTAAGTTAATTGTCTAATAAACAGGTTGTGTTGTTTGTAAATGATCTCTGCCTCAACCATTCCTACATGTCATTTATTGTTACTGCTCGGCAGTCCAGATGGCAATGGAGACAATAACAATATCACATATAATCATTATTTTTGCTTTGTGTGAAGGAAATCTCCCGCCTCACACAAAGCATGGAAATGTGTTCCACACTTAATAACTGATGAATAAAAATTTGAGTGAATTTCTGTCTGCAGTTCTTTGCTATTGAGACTTGCAAATGAACCTTTTCCTGAACATATCATCACTGGAGATGAAAAATGGGTGATATATGATAATCCACATAAGAAAAAGCAGTGATTGTTCTGTTGGAGAAACATCAAAAATAATTTCAAAACAAAATGTACACAGAAAACAGGTGCTTTTTTAAGTGTAGTGGAATATCTCTGGTTTGGTACACTTTGAACTGTTAAAACTGGGTCAAATGATTACTTCAGATCTTTATTGCAACAATTGGACCACTTATATGAATCCACATCAATCAAGCTAACTACAGTTTCAAACAGAAAAGGAACCATCCTTTAATGTGACAATGCAAGAGCCCACACATCAAAAATCACTCAACAAAAAATTAGACATTTAGGATGGGAAGCTCTTCCTCATTCTGCTTATTCTCCAGATATTGCACCATCTGATTATCATTTGCTTTAATTGCTTCAGCACTTCTTACAGGGAAAATATTTAATGCTTATGAAGATTTTAAAAATGAATTAGTTCAGTATTCCAAGTCTAAGTCAAAAAGTTTTACACAGAGAGAATAGAAAAGCTAGTTGAAATATGGAAAAAAGTCTGAAAATGATGGCAATTATATCATTGATTAAATAGACTTACCTTTTTATTCATTTCATGCTAAGTTTTATAATAAAAACAAAAAGACTTTCTGGTAGCCTTAATATTATTGCTTCATGTATGTTTTACTCTATTATATGACTACAAACGGTATAAATGTTTTGCATGTTTAATTAAATCTATGAATTACTTTTGAATATATAAGTAAAAAGGAATTTATACTTTTTTAAGATAATTTTAAGCATACACAATAAAAACAGCAAGAAATTGTTTTAAAATCTAAAGTTTTATATCTATTTAATAGATCATCTTCAGGTTACATTAAAAATATAAAAACAAATCAGATAAACATTACAAATTAAATAAGATACCTGAATGAATATAATAATTTATTAAAAGTAAATATATAACTTTGAGTATTCCAAAAATAAAAATTAAATAAAATCAAGCAATTATTTATTGCAATTTAAGCAATTATCTGAGCTACAATTTTTGATTATATTTTTACTTTAGTTAATTTAAAATATATGCTCTCCATCTCAAATTAGTAGTAGATTGCCCCTGTACATCATACTTTTCCTTTAACAATAGAGTCATGCGAGTCATCTATCTAACATCTTTCAGGGGAAAATTTTTGAATTGAAACAACGCGACTTCTGGTTTGCATCATTAGTTTATATATAGTTAATCAGGGCCTCCTGCCCCTAAGGTTTCCATATCCAGAAAGACAGATATGGAAACTGTTATGATGGATGGATGACAGTACAATACAATTCGGTTTGCCAATCACAATTCATTACCATTATTGTGATTGGCAAACTGAATTGTATTGTATATTTTGGAGCCCTACTGAATAGGCCAGTGTACTGGCAAAATGCATTTAGGGATAAATATGATGTATTAAAAAAGATTTCTCTAAGAAAAAACTGGTTTGCTTTTCTAACTTTTCATTTTTAATTCTATTTCATTTAATAAATGTTTTAGAGTTCAGAAGGTTTTATGCCTCCATAAGTCAGAAAAGAAGGGAAATTCGAATTTTCATGTACTCACTCACAGTACAATTAAGTAGGAACAGACTGACTTTGCTATATATACACAGAGAGATTAATGTAACCATGACTGAAGTAATTCAAGAGCTTTCTAAAAAAGAAAAGAAAACTGGACTTCATTCTTTAAATAAATTTTTATAATTACCTAATGAATTTTACTGAATTTACAGTAAAAGTTTTCATTTGTTCAACTCAGCCTCCCCCAAAATTATATTCTGAGTGTGAAACTGAATGGGACAATTAAACAAGAACCAGTCACTACTTGGTAAAAAGTGGCCCAATCACATAGCAAACAAATATACAACATTTTCATATTGCTTTTCCTGCTCTGGCAGAGAAAACTAAAATCCTCTTACCTCCTCTTCATATGAAGCTTGGTTTGATGAAAAACTTTAAAAAGTATGAACAGAGAAGGAAAAGGTTTTCCTGCCAACCTAGGAGCTGTTTCTGATGGCTTTGCATATCTGAAGCAAAAGTTTTCCCATCTGAGTGATGTAAAAATAGAGAAGGGAATTTTTGTTGATTCCCAAGTAAGACAGATTTTGAAAGATCCTAGTTTCAAGGAAAAACTTAAGCCAATGGAAAGGACAGCATGGGATGCATTCAAAAATGTGAGCAAGAATTTTTGGATAATGTATGAGCTAACAAATACAAGAAAATTGTAGAGAGATTAGTAATATACTACTAAACACTGGGTTGTAATATGTCATTCAAGATGCATTTTCTGCATTCCCATTTAGATATTTTTCCTGCCAACCTAGGAGCCGTTTCTGATGAACATGGAGAAAGGTTTCATCAGTTTCTTTCTCAAATGGAAAAGCAGTAAAAGTGGAAGGTGGAACAAGAACATGTTAGTGAATTACTGCTGGACTCTACAATGACACACTTAAGAAGAATATAAAAGGAAGAAAATATGTTGTTAAGTATTTCAGTTTTAAGTGTATAGAATTATGAAAAAGGAGTAATTAATATAAATCTGTTTGTATCTAATTAGCCAATTATCAATATGTATAGCCAATAAATGACACTTTAAACAGAAAATGTTTTCCTTCAAAAACCTCATTTCTGTTAAGAGTGGAGGGTGTTAGATCAATTCTGTTGTCAAATTTGGATTCAGCACCATTGAAACTATAAAAATCATTAATAATGTTTGACAGGAGCAAAAATAAACTTTCTTTTTCTAAAAAATACGTATAATCAAGCAAAATAAATATAATTAAACTATATTTTGGTTCACCAAATTACTAATAAGAGTTTCTATACACCTGCAGAAGCAAGATTACAGAATTTTCAAGAATTTTTTAATATGTACTTGTTCATTTTTGCTTTTCTGAAGATAAATGAAATAACCCAAACTTCTTGAAAGCTATTTAACTGTCATTTTTATATATTCAATTAATAAATTTCCCTCATAGAAATTAGGAGTTTATTGCATTACAACTAGAAACAGTGAATTCAGCCTGAAAACTGTAAACATAGGGTATAATAGTAGAAACAATACTCGGATATTGTATTAACATAAGCATGATGGTTGTCTTAATAGAAACAACATTGCACTTGCTTGTTTTGAAAGTGTTTCTAATGTTGAGATTGCATAAAGCTTGAATTATCAAGTGTGTTATCTCCCCCTTGTATACCTCTGTCATAGTGAAGAAAAGTATTTAAACAAAAGCTTAAAGAGCACTTAAACAGTGCTCTTTAAGCTTTTGTTTAAATACTTTTAATGCCCTAAAGATGCTGTTTCTTTCTTCACATCTTGGAGTAGCCTTCATCATGCTGCTAAAATCATTTGGGTGGTTGTTTTTATTTAATTTTTATTTTTTAATAAACCATTGTAATCATTTAAATATCTTATTTAAAGATGAAACTAACAATTGTAAATAAATATATTAAAAACAAAATAAATTAAAAGGAAAATAATTAATTGTGTGATAATATATTTGAATAAATAAGAAAAACTTTAATTCGAAAATTAGTCGTACTTGAGGGTTTAATTTAGTATGACGATGGCAAGTGGCTTCGAAATCTAAAACCAAAAAATAATCAAACATGGCGGCCATCAGAACGAACTGTTCCTTAATGTAAACATAACTTCTTATTGGTCAATTGTGTGACGTCACTCGCAAGATTTTCATTTTAAATATTTAACTACGTATTTATCATAAAATTTTTATTGTTATTAATAAATATATCGATTATTAATTATATATAAGAAAATAAAATTGAAGAAATAGTTAATATTAGAGAATAAACGAAATTTTATTGCTTTCTGATTGGACGCATGAATTTGAATTTTCAGTTGTCATTTGTGGATGATTTGGAAGAGAATCGTAAGTTGAGTTGAGCGATTAGTATCATTTTTAGTACGTTTTTTAAGTTTATAATCATGCCAAACAGTAAACAGACTGAGTTAAATAAGCAAAATAAAGAAAAGGACGCGAAAACTACGTCTTTAGACGACGAGAATGTTGATGATGAAACTAACCATCTGAGTTCGGCGGAAGGCTCTGATAAAGGTAGTGATCACGAAGATGAGAAAACAAAAGAATTGAAAGAGGAGGAATCTATTGAAGAAGATTCATCGGAAAATAAGGCAGAAAGAAAAGGTAATTCGAAGAAGGGTGCAAAAGATAAAAAAACAGTAGGGATTGATTCAGAATCTTCAATTTTGGTAGAAGCGTCTTCACTTCCCAATGGTTGGAGTAGAAAAGTTGTCCAGAGAAGAACTGGAAAAACTGCTGGAAGATATGATGTATATATCTTTAATCCAAACGGGAAAAGATTCCGTTCTAGAACAGAATTGAGTACTTACCTGAAACGTTCGAAATCGAATTTAAAAGCAGAAGAATTCGATTTTAATCCCCAAAAGAAAAGCGACAATGATAATCGGACGCCGTCAAAGCGTGCAATGAAAAGTACGAAACGTCCCCAGAAACGTAAAGCTCTGACCTCACCCGTGTCGTCATCTAAAAGGAAGAAAAGTAATACGAATGAAGCGAAATCAGCCGCGGAAAAAAAGAAATTGTTAGTAAAATTACCATTAGTATCGCCTAAAAAGATCTACGCCGATTATGCTCGACAAACTAAATCCAAATCTAAAGTTCGTAATCAGTCAAAGAACTCTAGATCACCTGCGAAAGGTAGTGCTGTTAATGCTCGTAAGAAGAGTGGGAAAATAAAGAAATAACTTTAAAAAAATAATAATCATCATCATTTGCGTTTCTAATTTTTCTCGTTTTTATTTTGTATTCTTAAATCTTAAAAGGTTTGTTACAGTTGACCACTTGGATTTGTCGAAATATTTTGTTGTGTGCATTAAAAAAAAAAAGTTCCACTTGTCGGAACGTAGGTGTGTGAAATAAATATGTAATGAGTTTATTTGCTGAATAAATTATATGTATTATTGGGTTATTATGCTATTAATGCGTTCGTTTTATAAAACTTGTGCTTTAATCTATAATTTAAAAAATTATGGATGTTTATTCAAATATTTTCAAATAGCAATATTCATCATGCGATAAACAAGAAATTGTCATTAGTCACCTTCATATTTTGAATGTATACCAGTTTTTTTTAAACATTGTAATAAATATTTTCGTATCAAAATAAAACTTTGATGAATTTTTCATATGGTATTTTTAATCGTACACTGCCTATACAATAATAATTTTCCATATAGTATTATAAACTTTTTAAAGGTATTGTTCGCTCATAATTTAAATTGTGACGACACACATTAACACTAAAATATCAATCATTTAAATTTAAAATTTGTATTATTGATATTTTAATTCTTTTTAACATTAAAATATTAATATTTGTGATTATTAGGCAATTAACTATATAATATAAAGTTTTTAAATTAAGAATAATTCAATCAATAGTTAAAAATCTTCTGATTGGTTAATATAATAATACTATTTCTTATATTAACCAATCACACGTATTTCGTGAACGAAAATAATTCGAGCAGACGATATGTAAATAAAAAAAATTACCGCTATTTAATGGAAATATATAAAATTAATATGACATTTTAAAAGACTAACACATTCCATTAAATATCGAAGGTAAACTTATTCGAATAAAAGAATTGAAATTGATGTTTTTTGAACTGAAATGAACAAATTTATGAAAGTTTTGGTGTCAATTTCGAATTAAAGGTAAGCAAAATTGATTTGTATTTAATTTAAATACAGATAACGCATTGTATTATAAAGTTTTGATTAAATATTCATCTGTCTGTATGTCTATATGTCATTTCTAAGAAATATATACTGAAAGTTAGATTTAAATCTTCTAATTTGTTTTCTGCTTCTCTAATTTTGTGACCTGTTCCATTCCATTCCATTCATTAAAATTTCATATCTTTTAATATAAGCAGATTAGTAATTTCATCATTCTTCCTGTCATTTTTATATTATTAAATAATCATCTTTTTCATGTCAATATTTAGTTCATTTTTATAATCATGATTTATTTTTTCACATTAAAAAATCTATTGTAATATCTGTTATACAAGGTAGCTTCAAAAAGTTCCTGGAATTATGCAGGGTTAGTCAATTAGAGGCAATGAGAAAGGGAATATGTAATGCATGTCTTAGCTAAATGTGTTGGGAATAGAGAAATGTGTTCAAACAAATTCATACTTGCTGCGAAGATGACGACAGTTACCATTCGTGGAAGGTCGCATGTTAGTGAGATGTTGTGAAACAATGTCTGTGGAAGAACGATGTGAAAATATCAAATTTTGTGTTATTGGGAAAAAACCCTCTGAGACCTTGAAGATGCTTCAGGATGCCTATGTTGAATCTGCCAAGCACTCTTAAATTTATGACTGGCAGAAATGCTTTTGTGAGAGATGAGAAAGTATTGCTGATGATTTGCGAAGTGGGAATTTCGATTGAAAGTTGTCATTCCATCCTACGTGATCAATTGAACATCCACGGTGTTTGCCAACACACAGTGCCACGAATGCTCACGGCAGACTTTGTGCGATTTATGCCTCTTCCCTGATTGAAAGATCCCAACAAGGGACTCCACTTCAAGAATGCCAATGAGGTTATACAGAGTGCGACATCTACATTGCAGGTGCTGTTGCGAGACAGCTTCCAAGAATGTTTCCAACAGCTATACCAGCATTGGCAAAAGTGTGTGGTTGCATAAGGACAATACTTTGAAGGACACATTGCTTGATTTGTCAATTGTGTTCTTTCTGTGCAAAAAGAAGGAAAAATTTCTCTTGGACTTAAACAGAGAAAAATCCATGGGATTTACACATACTTTTGAGTAATAAGCCAATTCTGGGAACTTTTTGAAGCTACCATGTATGTATAATACTATAAAAAATTTTATAATGTTATTTCTATGATTTATGATGATTATATATTATATTACTTGTATTCTGTGGATTGCTCTTGTAAATATGCATCTAAAATCAAATGATATTGAGTTTAGATTTAGTTTAGAATTAAATTTATAAATTATTAATCAGATGACAAAGAACATTAAACATTAAATCATTTTTGAAACATTGTTAATATAATCTTTTCACTAAAATTCATCAGGAAAACCCCTTGAATATAAAAACATCATCAAATTACAAACTTCTTTCAAAACATTTTAGATTGAATAAATTTTTCATTTAAAAGTTTCCTTTCTCTCAAATTTCTCTGAGCATTTTAAAACAGTATTCTGATGCATTTTAGTTTTCAAGAGCAATTATTGTGACATCATCATAATGCTGGGCTGCAATTTTTAATCATATTTTATTTCATTTAAAATATATGCTCTCCATCTCAAATTAGTAGTGTCATGCCCTGTACATCTTACTTTTCCTTTAACAATTGAGTTGTACTGGTCATCTATCTAACACCTTTCGGGGAAAAATTTTTGAATTGAAACATGACTTCTGGTTTGCAACATGAAGTTCATATATAGTTAATCAGGGCCTACTGCTCCTAAGGTTTCCATATCTGGTTCTGACTTTCATATATCTAATTCTGTTCTTGAGATTAAGGAAGAACACAGATAAAAGGACAGGATAATTGGAATTTATAGGTCTACAATTTTTTCAAATTGCAGCCCAATGTGTACAAAGAATTTTTATCATTGTTAAAATAATTGTATATTATTTATTAAAGAAATTTTAAGATTGACAAATAACTAATATATTAGAAAGTATGCAGTCATGTTTTGGTTGATGGTAAGTACTATCTCATGCAGTGGCACATCTAGGAGGGACAAGGGGCCTAGCACTCCAAAGAAAAAAACCACTAGAAAATTTTCCAAAGCCATTTTCCTAATTAAAATTCATTTTATTTTTTATTTATATTATTCTTCTATTTCTATATTAATTAATTATGAACTGATGATCACATAAAGTGGGAATTTTCTTGAATTTGCATTAAAATTTTTTTATCCATTAATTAAACTCTTCTCCCCCAAGATTAAATACTGAGTGTGCCACTGGTCTCATCTGTTGTATGTATCTTTAATACATAAACAACTCACTTTTACTCATTAAGCAAATACATACTTACATACTGTCTATACATAATGGAGAAAGTCAAATCTCCACCATATACTCTATTACAATGATCAATGACACACTGGCAAGAGAACTGGACTCAAAATACAGTAGGTAGGTCAACCTATGCCTTTATGCCTGAAGAAGTTGGTCAAACTCCAGTAAGTTGCAATTGGCTATTGACATAGATGTTGACTGGACACAGGAAGTTTCTCCACTTTAAGTCCAAACTAGGACAAGGAGATGGTTGCTGTTCCTGTGGATGTCTGTTTCTAGGGGAAGGTCACCCATTGACTGATATAAGTGAGCTGACCTCTCTTAGGAGGAGCACTCAAAGTTCAGAGCAGGCTGCATAAAGCTGTAAGAAAGAGAGTTTGACTGAGATCAAGGAAAGTTAGTCCTCAATTGGGTCTTGTACTGCCAGAGCCAGAGCATTACCTCAGTCTGACTTCAGTCATTCAGACTTCAGTAGTAATTATTGTATGCTTTACTACTGATGATTAAGCTATAGTCTCTGAACTCTGTAGTACTATTTGGTAGGGCAGAGTCCAATTTTTAGAGTTGTCAATATGAGGTATATATACATACAGCAGAATTCATTTATTGTAATCAAGGATATTGTTATAAGCCATTTAACATTATCAGAATTAGCAAATAGACATCTGTAAGATGTCTTTTTGTGCTATTAGTCTCAATATGTGATTATTCAGTAGTTATCATCATCAAAGATTTCCATTATCACACTTAATCAGTGTTTTAAATACTAATTGTTTTAACCTGAAGAAGGCTATTTAAGATAGCTGAAAACGTTAGTTTAATTTAATTAAAAAATTTTCTAGAAAAAGAGTGAAAGATATTTTGAAATTAATATTTTATGATTGATATTTAGTTATCTTTTCATTATAACTGTATAACTACAAAATTATGAATCATATTTTGTACAATATCAGTTTTTAAAGTTTAGTTTCCAGGTTTTTTGGCATATGTTTATTTAAATATTTATAAAGATAAGTTTTATATACAGTATATAGATAAGTTAAGTATAAATTTAAATATAGGCAGTCCTTCACTTTGAAACAAATTATTGTAAAAAAGAAAAAAAGAAAGTATCTCTAAATTTGTCTGTACATCAAAGCAAACTTTCATACAATTTCAGTTGACATAAAAATTTTAAGCAATTACATGGTGGCACTTTCTGCCAGTTTTGTTGACAACTAATCAGAAAATAGACAATAAATATAAATCTGTTTTAATGGTGACCATAAGAAAAGTTAATTTTATTTAAATACTATGAATAAACAAAGTGATTAAAAAAAGTATTTTAAAACATGCATTAACTGATAATATACAACTTATATATAAATTATCAGTATGTGAGAGTATTTTACAAATAGAAATTTTCCAAGAAGTTTCATGGAAGTGCAAGACCAAAACAGAACCAGGTGTTCAGTTGGCATACTGGAATTAATGGAGTTAATCAGAATGGTAGAACAAGAAAGTTGTTTAAATGTAATTTGTGAACTATTCTTCATGATGATTGACTCCATATTATAAACTGAAGTTCATTAACACTAAAATAAGTTTATTAGAAGTCCAATAGATATTTTTATATCAGAATTAAATGTTTTTTGGAATGTTATCTCCCATGATCAATTCCTCCACTGCACAGATTAGAATAAGAATTCTAGTTCTAGAATGATTGTTTCAATCTTAAAAACTTTGTTTTAGCATTAGTGAACTGCAACATAATTTGCAATTATCATCATACATCATCAGATCAATTCCTTTAATTGCCACCACCCATGCACAAACGCACATGCCCAGTGCAACAGATTTATTCATATGGACATTTGATTTAATTTTCAAATATTTACATTCTATTTTGAAACGTTCCATCAGATTTTACCTGAAGAAGAACTATTCAAAAGTTTGAAAACATTTGTGATAGACCGTTTTTTCACAAGGAACACCGGTAACAGATTCTAGTTATAGTGTTGATTTCACCCCCGGTGTTAAAGTGATGTTGAACTTCTTATTTCCTTTAAGTATGATATTGTTCCTAAAGTCAGCAGTTATATCAGTTTCAGAAGTCAGTAATATTTCACATAAATCAATTTACTTGTTCATAAGTAAGAAATTATTGAAGATGATCTGAAAAATTTCATTCGTATTTAATCTTACAAGTTAGTGGTAAAACTTGAATTTATAGACAGCTTGAAATCAAACAGTTATCAACAAAGTCCAAATTGAAACACTGAAGAGCAAATTTGCTGCAAACAAAAATCACGTTGACTGCATTTTTTTACTTTGATTTGATGAACGCTACAGATATACTCCAGATAGTGATCAACTTTTTACATAGCTAGTCTGTGACACATCATCACTAGTCCTGATTAATACATAATTAATCATTTATTTTTCTTTTATTAAAACAAAAACTAATTTTATGTTAAGATTTTGTGAACTACACTATATTTTTTTTACATTTTGGTTACATAAAAGTTATTTTAATTGGTTCCATTATCCCTTTATTTAACATTGATATATAGAAAATATTTATTTTCCTTATAAAATAACTAAATAATAATAAGCATATCTTCCAACAAAAATTGTTCTATTGTCTGTCCCAAGCCC